ATTATCATCTGAGCTTCAATTCTTGTATGTAATTTATTACCAAGTAGTTTCATGTGAACTCTTAACTATATTTTACCCAATAAAGATAGAGACAAGACTTCATCTCAACCTACAGGTTGTAATTAAAAAAAAAAAATATATTAGAAACTGAAGTTTGTTAAAAGTCTTCTATAAAAAGACACTCACTATATACCTAGCTCTTATAGTCATGAAAAGGTCTATAGCTTACTTTATTTATTAAGTTTAGCTAGTATATATAGTTCTCTGTATATCTATATTTTATATTTATATTATTTAAAAATATATTAATTATTAATTTTATAAACTTACTATATAAATATATTTTATATAAAAAATTGTTATATTCTTTATATTTACAAGTATTTATTTATAAATTATTCTAATAAAATTTTTTTAAATTTTAAAAAAATTTATTTTATATATAAAATAATATAAAAAATATTTTTACTTATTAGACAAAATATAGTTTACATAATAAAAAAAAAGTTATAAATTAAAAACTATATAATTTAAATATTTTTTATAAATTTGTAAATTGATAAAAAAAAATATTTAATTAAAATTTAATAAATTTATTTTTAAATCTTAATATTATAGTATAGATAATTCTAAAAATATAGTTTAAAATAACAGTCATTAGATTTAATATTATTAATAAGACTTTTTATTTTATTTTATAATATATAATATTTCAAAAGTGACAATATGATCTATATTGTTTTAGAGCAGAAGATTTGAGTTGTTTGCTATAAAAAGTTGTTTTAAAAAGAGAATTTTATTATTTTTGAGACTAAGAGTTGTTATTATTTTTTGAGGATATAACAGAAATTTGTATATTAGATTTAGTTAATTGTAATTTATAGTTATATTTGTAAAGTTTAAGTTAAGATTATTGATTTTTATATTATTATTTGAGACTAAAATTAATTAAGTAATTATTGTAAAGTTTTGAGTTTATCTTTAATATATTAAAAGAATATCTTTTGAGAAATAGAGATACTAAATTGAGAAGAGCTATTTATTTAAATAAAGAATTTATATATTTTTAAAAATATAGTTTGAGTTTAAAAGATGTTCTAAGTTACTACTACTTATGTTTAAGAAGATTTTCTTTAAAGTAGAAACATTGAGTAGTTATAAATTTGTTAGAATATTATTGCTTATATTTAGTTAGAGATTGAGTAATTGTTTGATATGTTTTATAATTATTATTAATAGTTTTTTTGTTGTTTGTTTATTTAGAGAAATAATTTGAAGTAAGTATTCAAGTTATAGTGCTAATATAGTATTAAATAATGAAGTAATTTGTATTAGGAAGAGTTTTTGAATTTAATTAGTTTGCAAAATTGAAAAATTTTATTAGTAATTATTTCATGAGTTGGTTTTGTTAATCTTTATCCATTATAATAGATGCCAAAATATCTAATTGTTTCTTCAAGTTTGTGAGGGTGTATTTGTTAATTGTTAAAAAAAATTTAAGATAATAATGAAAATTTTATTTTGTTAGAAGATATGTGAAGTAAATCTGATTTGTTTGAATTGACTTGAATGTTACTTATTTGGTAGAATTTAGTGACATCATTTAAGAGGTTTTAAAGATCTGTTAGATTATTACAATGCTATACAATATTATCTATGAAAGCCAAAAGAAGTATTATAAATGAAGATGAGCTTTGATTAAAAATTTGATTAACTGAAGATAAAGATTTAATTTGAAGAAAACTGTTTTAGTATTTGATATTAATAAAAATTAAGATAGAATCATAATAAATTTTCCAAAGTAGTAGTGAATATATTTCTCTTTGTTTTATTCCTAAAAAAAGAGTAATTGATTCTGTAAGACTATAAACAGTAATAATTCTAGCTTTGCAGTTTGAATAGAGATTATAGATAAAATTTAAAGCATTTTGTAGTATGCCAATTCTTTTGCATGCATCGATTAAGCGGTTTAGATTGATTTTATCAAAGGTTTTAGACATATCCTGGAATACAGTTTTGAGGAATTAAAAGTTATTCGTATTAAATTTTGTGATGAATATGTAAATTTACTGAAAGTGTTAACTAATAGTCACAGTATAATTAGCACTTTAGAAATAACTTCAGTCACGATTGATATATTCAATTTATCACAACTTTTAAAAAAATCTGGCTTATTATTGCAACGACTAAAGATTATCAACATAGGAGATGAAAATATCAATATAGGAGATGGAGAAATTGATTCACAAACGTTATTACTAGAAACACTTAAATTCTTCGGCACGAATATTATTTATCATTATATTTCACGTATTAAATTCCGATCAACTTGCAAAGCTTATTAAAAGTTTACAACTTCAGTTTCTCGCATTATGGTGGATAAATGTTGGAACTGAAGAAGTAACGAAAGCGCGCGAGTTATGCAATAATTACTACTAACGCTTCGATATCTTGATTTAGGAGATATAGCGTTAAATTCACATCAATATTTTGCTTAATAATTGTGGTACGACTTTAAAACAATTATTTTTTTTGTATCAATTATCAGGATTGTGGTAATAAGGAAATAATAGATGCGTTAATTAGGTTTTGCATTGAAAAAAAGAGTTTGAAGGAAGTGAGTTTACCCATAAGATCTATATTCAAAACTGATCGTTTTACTAAATGGCGTATGCCTAAATATGATTTCTTAAAAGATTTTGAAGGATTAATTAATGTGGTATTGTATAAATGCATTAGAGTTAAATGCTAATATACTGTATATGAGTAGGTGAAATATTAATAAATTTTTTATTTACGATTAAGATTTAAATACTAAGTTAAATAATTAAAATTTAAACATAGGTGATACTTTAATAAATAAGGGGTTAATGAAATTTGTAAACTTCTTTGTAATGTATTAAAGAAAATATAATAACAATGTGAATAAACAAGCTTACACATATTATAAAATAGAATTTATAGATCGTTTACTGTATTTTGAAATAATTACATCTCTTATTTCTTCAAAATAGGTGTCTGATTTTTAATTTTGAAACTCCAATGTAATAATTTTATAGTTGTTATAATAAGAGCTATTTTGTGATCTTTTTATTCCCTTCTTCAGAGATTTCATGTACCAAATGATTAAAATTTCTGATTCACCTTTTAAGAGTTTAGTATGTCAAATTGTTAAATAACCAATTAATTCAAGGAAATGACTTGTATTTGGCAGATAATTAAAATACTTAAATATTTTATTTGTAATAATTTGATAAATAAATAAGGGTATGATTATTTGATTAATATGATAAATAAAATAATGGTATGATTATTTGATTAATAAAAATGAAGAACATTAATAACTAAAATTATCGACTTAAATTTACAATGTTCTAACCGATTCTTTAACATTTTGATTGAGTTTCGGAACATTCGCCAAATTGATTGATAATCCTGAATTCATAGTAAAAATGCTCATAAAAAAATTAATATTATAATATTGTGCGTAGTACAGCCCATATTACCTCTTATTTCCTATAAGTTATTAAATAATAATGAACTGAAAATACTATGTAGAAAATATATAAAAAAAAACATATGGCATCCTATAAGCTAAAAATAAATTTATATCAAATATCTGATATATCATTTTTCGGCTTTACTTTTTGTTTTGGTGGGGAAAATCATCTTTTTTCTACATTTTTCAACAAGTAAATTAATAATTTCATCTAACTTATAATTAGGATTTTTAATAATCTCATCTCCAAATGCAATAAGTCTATCAGTTTCTTTTGTTGAAGTGTTAGATATAGAATAATCTTCCATACTCAATTGTGGTTGAATTCTGTAGTAACTTGTGCCATCAAATTCAGCCAAAAATTTCATAGTGGCGTCATCATTATCTAGTTCTGCATTAAATAAGATATCAATCAAAGGTTTTACCCACTGAACAACACCAGAATCTTTATACATTTCTAGAGGTGTTTTGAAGTATCCTGTACCAAGTGAAACTACTACAAATTTCGCATTTGGGAACTTTTTCTTTGCTTCAAGATATGCTATAACAGTTGGATTATTCTGAAAAACTCCACCATCAATAAAATATTTTGTACCAATTTGTTTTGCAGGAAAATAGGTAGGTGCGGACGCACTTGCTTGTATAACATCTCTCATGAGATAATCTTCGTATTGAGCGTAAAGATTTGTGAAGAAAGTACCTTCACTATTGGTAATATTAAATGATGGAATAATTACGCCTACGTTGTTTACAGTATCTTTAAGTTTAATATCTTGAAAATTTTCTTGCAATAATTTTTCCAACACATCTGGTTCATATTTCGGCTTCCAAGGATTATAAGCATTTTCATATCCCTTTATATACATTAATGCTTTAGTAAAATATTCTTCACCTTTTTTTTCATCTTTACTCATGATTAAATCTTCAGCTTTACTCTTTTTTATATCATCGGGTACATCTTCAGCTTTACTAATGGTTACAACTTCAGTTTTATTAATGGTTACATCTAGCTTTTTCTTCTCGGTCTCATTACTTTTGTTCTTTTTCTTCATTGAAATGCTAAAAAGCCTTTCAAGTATTCCTACTTTTTTACCTTCATTATTAGTTTTACTTTCAATTTTTTTAATTCTCTCCTCAACTTCTTCGGCTTCATTTTCAGCATAATCTTGTAATAATTTCTTAGATTTAGCCAATAACATATTGGCAAACATTATAGCAGAATACTCAGGAAAGACTTCATGTCCATGTGTCTTATAAAAATCCACGAGATATTGAGCATCAAATTTAGGACGATTATCTTTAGGAATTGATAATCCTAAAGCAAGTATAGAACCTGTTGAAGTTCCAGATATAATATCAAATAAATCGGCACATCTTATATCAACATTTTTATGATCTTTTTTTATTTCTTCAGTTACTCTTCTTTCAATTTCTGAGAGAATTTTGGCAGGAATTATACCTCGAAAACCACCTCCATCAATTGAAAGGATGCATCTTATGTCTTCTTCCATAATCCTAAGTTATGTTTTGAAATTAAATTAAGAATTATAATTTTAAAATTAAGTTTATAAATTTATTTTATATTTACTTATAACTTTTCTATCGACTTAAATACTCTCTGAAGATTATTGAAGATTATGAAAAAGATTTTAATAATCTTTAAAGTTCAATATTTAGTCTCAAATTATATCCGACAATCAATACGTATTGTTTAAAAAATTTTTAATGTTTTTTATTTGAAATATTATATTCATAACACCTATGTTATATAACACCTTATATATAATAATTATGTAAACTAGATTAGGGTGAGGGTATATATTATATTTTTAATAGTATGGTGTTATATAACATGGTGTTATGAATATAATTTTCCTTTTTATTTAATATTGACAAAACATTTATCTTTATTTGTACTAGTACACGTATTGTACATACGTAAATTCGAATCATCCTGATTTTCATTTTAAATTTTTTTTTACATTACAACAACAATCAATTTAATTAGTACACTACCACACGTACGACATAGCATGTGAATTGTATAAATGCATTTAAAATTAATGAAAACAGTAACAACCCGAAATAAATTATAATTTAATAATTTACGCACGTGCTTAGTTAAACATTTTAAGAAAATTTTTTTTTCTATCATACAAAAAAACATAAGTTTATAAGTTATAATGATACAAGATGTGTAACGTAGTAAGTTCTAAAAAGAAGGTATTTTTTATTAAATAAATGTGTTCTCATAAATCAAATAATAGCACAATTGTTTCTCTCAAGTTCCAAAATTAATTGGTATTCAAAAATCAAATTACCGCTATTAATGCATGTAATTATATATCAGCAGATTTTGATAATAAAATGAATAGACAATGCAACTCACATGAAAGTTTTCAAACCAATTTATAAACTTTTCTACTGTTTAACAAATGTATAGCAATAACTCATCAAAAAAGCAATTTAAAAATCCTTGATATTAATATTCTATTATTTTCTTGAAATTTAGATTAGTATTACTATTTTTATTTTTATTTTTAATGTTTAAATTAATTTCCTTTTTAATAATTACCTTAGAGAGACATTTCATTTCCTTTCTCGACAATTAATACGTGTAATGTTTATGAACCTAATACGAATTACTTTACCCGAGACTAATTTAGAAATATGGTTAAGAGTAAATTAGGACCTAGATTTGATAAAAAGGTAATTCCGAAATTGTTACATTTCTGATCTTGTACAAAATAACAATCAGTGTTAAAAATTCGTTGTGCACGTATTGTTATTTGCACAAAATTAGTGCACAATGCACAAAAAACAAAATAACATTTACGTATAAAAAAAATTTTCTGCACAACATATTTTTGCCGAATTTTTAACACTGATAACAATGTCTAAAGAGAGAAAACGAGCTATACGTAAATGGAATTATATCGATAGTCTAATAAAAATATTTATTTTAACTAAGATTAAGAAGAGTTTAATAACGTTTGTTATGATTGGCTAATTTTTGTAAATCATCTTATTATGATAAAAGTAACTAATACGAATTCGCAGGGGATGCGGTATAAAAATTTAGAAAGTACACGTTTTAATGCGCTGAAGTAATTTAATAATCGGCGAGGTAATTCAGAAGTTAGATGAGAGGTATGTTTAGACGTTTCATTTTAGCCAATAATCATATATCTGATATAATTTTTGAATCTTTTACGTTCAGCAATTCGTCTTTAGTTTTTTTTATAATTATTTTATTCATAACAATTTATTTGTTTATAATCCTAAAGATAGATACGTACTGCCTGTGAAATAAGTTAGCGACACAAAGCAATGAAACATGACATGGTGTATAAATTTTATGAGGTTAAGACTTAGTGTCATGTTTACAATTATTAATTTAGAATCAAGGTTAAAATTAGTTCAGTGTAAATAGAACTGGTTTTTATCGTTATGAGTAAAAATATTTTTGTATCATATTTTATTAATGCTATAATGTAGATTTTTTCATATTTTCTATTATTTTATTTATTTTATTTTGTTTTATCTTTCTTTTAAAAAATTTACAATTATGTTTTTTTTTTTTTTTTTTTTTTTTCAATAGGAACTTGGGTTATAGGATTTTATTTGTATCGGGATAATGGTTCTAAACTTTGAGTTGATTGTAATTTTATGATAATTATTTATTAATTTAGATTTAGTCGATTAAACAATAATACTTTGCTAAAATCTTACATTTTTGCGAAAGCATCAAAATATTTTAGATTTGGTGTAAATGATTAATAATATAGGTCGTTAAGAGAAAATTTTCATAGTAAATCACAAATTCAGTTTCTTACTAGCACTATTAACGAGGTTTTTTGAACAAACTACTGATTTTTTGTGTTTTGTCAAAAAACCTCGTTAATAGTGCTAGTAAGAAACTGAATTTACGATTTACTATGAAAATTTCCTCTTAGCGACCTATATTATTATTCATTTACACCAAATCTAGAATATTTTGATGTTTTCGCAAAAATGTAAAGTGTTTTTTCAATTTCAATGATAGTTTTCTATGCTACTTTGATCACTTAACGTTAAAAATTAATAATTCCAAAGATTCCCCATCACATTTCTATCTCTTGTATGAATATCCATTAATATACTAGTTTTGTTATAATTAGTTAACAAGCAGTCATAAAAATTTTTCTTCGCTTAAATTTCTTACAAACTTTGAGCAAAGATATCATGATAATATTATATTTGAGCGAAGGTATCTTGATAATATTATATTCATTTTCAATATTTAAAGCTATTTTCAAATTCCACAAACTAGTAGATTTCGAAAATAGTATTAAACATTGGAGGTGACTAGGCTATTATTGAGAAATCTTTAATCAAAGATCGCAAATATTAGTGTAATAGATTTTACCAGATATGATAAGTATAATTTTAGCAATTACAGGCTTAAATTTTATTTCCAATTTGATAATCTCAGTAATTTGAAAGCACTCTTTGTATAATTACTAAATAATTATTCATTAGCCCACTTTTCAACCCAGTCTCTGGCTTTACCCAAAATCTCATTAAATTTTTGTCCATTGTCAACTCCTTTTTTTAAAACCTTTTTTGGTTTTTTCGTAACACATTTCACATTTATCTTTAAAAGTTTCAAACATTATAATTTCCAAATATGCAATCGCCAATACTAAACATAATACTATATCATTTTCAATTCTAATAAATTCAAAATCTTTAAAATCATTTTTACCAAACCAAGAATAAAATTTAGTAGATGGTAAAACTGAACTATAAAATCAAGAAAATTATAAAGAGTTTCAATTTTGAAGATGTAGCTGTGGAAACCGACTCTAAATCATAAGATTCTATTAATAAAGAATTTAATGACTTGCTTACTGTAATATGTGAATAGTGATTGGACCCGTCTAAAAAATCATCACCCGGGTGACCCGCGGGTTCACTCGTCAGGTGACCCGGGTGATCGACGGGTATACCCGGGTAAAATTTTTACCCGTTGTACCCGGGTGGTGAGAAGGTGTGAACCGGTTCTGGTACGGAACTCGTCCGGAGGTTCTTGGTTACACCTAGGTTCGTAGCTCAACAA